AGAGGAGAGAGAGAGAGAGAGAGAGAGAGAGAAGAGAGAGAGAGAGAGAGAGAGAGAGAGAGAGAGAGAGAGAGAGAGAAGAGGACTCGGCCGCTCGCATAAATTGAATGCAGGCCGGGATGAATACACAAATAGAGAGAGAGATAACCTGCAGGAATTAATTGTCTACGAACGAAACTTGGGACACGAATGTTTTACAGTTGCGAACGGCTCGACATACTCTCTCGCTCCTCGCTGTGTGCGTGTTGTGTGTGTGTGTGTGTGTGTGTGTGTGTGGTGTGTGTGTGTGTGTGTGTGTGTGTGTGTGTGTGTGTGTGTGTGTGTGTGTGTGTGTGTGTGTGTGTGTGTGTGTGGTGTGTGTGTGTGTGTGTGTGTTGTGCGTGTGTGTGCGTGTGTGTGCGTGTGCGTGTGTGTGTGCGTGTGCGTGTTCGTCGTGTGCGCGTCTTTTTGTCTTTCTATCTATCTCTCTCTCTCCCTCTCTCCCTAGGACCCACGAGAAAAAACACTGAAAATGAAAAAGAAACAAACTCAAAATAATAAACTAAGACGACAAGAACAGAGAGATCGAGGGAAGTGCCACAGACACACACAAACGTGAGCCAGCAATTTGAGTGACAACGAAGGCCTGGCGTGACAAGCGAGCGGGGACCATCGTGCCTTCTGTCACGCCGTCACCATATTTCCCTGTCACGGCGTCACCCCCCCCCCCACCCGTCACACTCCGCCCACCCCCGTCACACATTCCCTGTCACCCGTCACCACATTCCCTGTCAAGCCGTCACACTCCGTCACCACCACCCCCTCTGTCACGCCGTCACCCCCCCTCTGTCACGTCGTCACACTCCACCCCCCCCCTCTGTCACGCCGTCACCATCCCCTCCGTCACACGCCTCGTTACCCGCCGTGACGTCGCTTAAGCCGATCGGGAAAATAATATCCCCCTCCCCCCCTCTTTTATCGCGTATTACGGGCGTGTGAGTGAGGGAAAGATAATCAGAGAGAGAGAGAGAGAGAGAGGAGAGAGAGAGAGAGAGAGAGAGAGAGAGAGAGAGAGAGAGAGAGAGGAGAGAGAAGAGGGAGGGAGAGATGAACGAGCTGGTTTTGTTCTTTTATTCATTTATTACACATCTTTTCTATTTAATTATTGTCATTATTCAACCCAGGCGACCCCTCGCCCCCCCCCCAAAAAAAAAAAAAAAAAAAAAAAAAACACTGCTCAAGCACGTGATGCTGTGACGCCTTCCCTCTAACAAGTATCTCTGGTCAAGCAGATGTCATCTACAAGCAAGCGAGCATCACCGCCCCCCCCCCAGCAGGTACCTTACCCCCGAACCATACCAATGCCCAAGCAGGCATTTCCTTCAAGCAGGCATTTCACCCAATCAGGTATTTCGTTCAAGCAGGTATTACGTTCAAGTAGGTATTTCACTTAAGCAGGCATTTTGGTCAAGCAGGTCTTACGCTCAAGCAAGTATTGCACTCAAGCAGGCATTTCACCAAAGCAAGCATTTCGTCCAAGCAAGAATTTCACCCAAGCAGGCATATCAAACCAAGCAGATATTACGCTAAAGCAGAGTTTACTTCCAAAGCAGACATTCACCCAAGCCATTCAACAGCAGACATTCACCCAAGACCACCCAAGCAGAGACATTCCACCCAAGCAGACATTCCACCCATTCACAATGCATTCCAAGCAGACATTCCACTTCCACCCAAGTAGACATTCCACCCAAGCAGACATTCCACCAGAACATTCCACCCAAGCATACCCCACTTTCCACCCAAGCAGACATTCCACCCAGACATTCCACCCAAGCACATTCCACCCAAGTACATTCCACCCAAGCAGACATTCCACCCAAGTAGACATTCCACCCAAGCAGACATTCCACCCAAGCAGACATTCCACCCAAGTCATTTCCACCCAAGCAGACATTCCACCCAAGCAGACATTCCACCCAAGCAGACATTCCACCCAAGCAGACATTCCACCCAAGCAGACATTCCACCCAAGCAGACATTCCATCCAAGCAGACATTCCACCCAAGCAGACATTCCACCCAATTCCCAGCAGAACATTCCACCCAAGCAGACATTCCACCCAAGCAGACATTCCACCCAAGTAGACATTCCACCCAAGCGCACATTCCACCCAAGCAGACATTCCACCCAAGCATTCCAACACCCAAGCAGACATTCCACCACCCACCCAAGCAGACATTCCACCAACCCAAGCAGACATTCCACCCAAGCATTCCACCCAAAGCAGACATTCCACCCAAGTAGACATTCCACCGACATTTCCACCCAAGCAGACCATCCATCCAGACATTCCACCCAAGCAACATTCCACCCATTCTTCCACCCAAGCAGACATTCCACAGAGCAGACATTCTCCACCCAAGCAGACATTCCACCCAAGCAGACATTCCCACCCAAAGAGACATTCCACCCAAGCAGATTCCACCCATCAATTCCACCCCAAGCAACATTCCACCCA